GTGGTCCAGTCCTTTGTTTCCTGCCACTAAAAGCTCTTCACTAGAAAAGGGTCAGAGTTCCAGTTTATGACTAAGGGTTAGGTTAAGATTAGATTTAGAATTATGCTCATGCAAAATCTAGCTCAAATGGTTCCTAGAACTTGTCTACATAGTAAGTGATCAGTATATATTGGTCAAAGAAATGAATGAATGGACACTGGTTTAAGCAAATGGAATCTGTTGGCTGGCTTCAAGTGGCTCAAACAACATAATCAAGAATGGAGAAGGGGTCTCTCGCTTTCAGCCTGCTCTGATCTCTGCAGCATCATGCTCAGATGACCCACTATCCATGATTGTGCTAAAGGATTCCTTGTCCCTCCCTACACCGTCTCAGAAAAGGAGGTCTGCCTGGTAGCACCCACAGGTGTCGGGGGAAGCCACTTCTCTTTCTCAAGAATGCCAAGGGCCGGGTGCGGTGGCTCACGCCTGTAATCCCAACACTTTGGGAGGCTGAGGCGGGTGGATCATGAGGTCAGGAGTTCAAGACCAGCCCGGTCAACATGACAAAACCCCATCTTTACTAAAAATACAAAAAAAATTAGCCAGGGGTGGTGGTACATGCCTGTAGTCTCAGCTACTTGGGAGGCTGAGGCAGGAGAATCGCTTGAACCGGGAGGCAGAGGTTGCAGGGAGCTGAGACGGCGCCATCGCACTCCAGCCTGGGCGACAGAGCAAGACTCTATCTCAAAAAAAAAAAAAGAAAAAGAAAAAAAAAAGCCAAAAAAGTCTCTTGCTTTCCTTGGCTCTGATTTGGTTCAGAACCAGCCCCGAACAAATGGCTGCAGACAGCGAGTGGGACATGTGGATTGGCTAAGACCCATCAAAACCTATTCCTGGTGCCGGGGCATGAGCTACTTCCTTCAGGCATGGGTAGAACAGATGCTTAGTGGCCAAACTTACAAATGTTACAGGAATTTCAGGGTCTGGATTAGAGTGCCAGGAAGGTTCCAATCTAGACTAAGCAATAAAAAGGTTCAGTTGTGTTTTTCCAGATGAGAGAAAAATGCATAAACACTTTGAGCCCTGCATTCCACTCCCAGGGCTTTTCTTAAAAACAATAACAAAAAATCACCTTCCCTAAAAGCTGTTGTTCATGGCGTTCTTCATGTAGAAGAGTATAAGACCACATAGAAGGCCAGGCACAGTGGCTTATGCCTGTAATCCCAGCACTTTGGGAGGTCGAGGCTGGTGGATCACGAGGTCAGGAATTTGAGACCAGCCTGACCAACATGGTGAATGAAACCCTGTCTCTACTGAAAATACAAAAATTAGACAGGCATGGTGGGGCGTGCTTGTAATCCCAGCTACTCAGGAGGCTGAGGCAGGAGAATCGCTTGAACCGGGGAGGCAGAGGTTGCAGTGAGCCGAGATTGCACCACTGCACTCCACCTGGGTAACAAGAGTGAAACTCCATCTCAAAAAACAACGACAGCAACAACAACAACAAAAACACATGGAAAGAGAGAAGGTTGGGGTAGGAAGTGTGGGGCAAGCAAAATGCTATGTACATTATTGAATGATAGTGATAAAAAAATACTGGCTAGGCTGGATAGCTCATGCCTGTAATCCAGCACTTTGGGAGACTGAGGTAGGAGGATCGCTTAAGCCCAGGAGTTCAAGACTAGCCTGGGCAACATAGTGAGACCCGGTCTCTCCAAAAAAAAAATTAAGAATTAGCTGAGTATGATAACATGCACTTGTAGTCCCAGCTACTACTTGGGAGGCTGAGCTTGGAGGATCACTTGAGCCAGGAGATCAAGGCTGCTGGGCTATGATTGTGCCAGTGCACTCCAGACTGGGCAGCAGAGTGAGGCCCTGTCTCAAAAAAAAAAAAAAAAATACTGCCTATAAAAGTCACTAGACATAGGTCGAGTGCAGTGGCTTACGCCTGTAATCCCAGCACTTTGGGAGGCCAAAGTAGGCAGATCACGAGGTCAGGAGTTTGAGACCAGCCTGACCAACATGGTGAAACCCTGTCTCTACTAAAAAATACAAAAATTTGTTGGGTGTGGTGGCACGTGCCTGTAATCCCAGTTACTCAGGAGGCTGAGGCAGGAGAATCACTTGAACCCGGAAGGCAGAGGATGCAGTGAGCCGAGATTGTGCCACTATACTCCAGCCTGGGCAACAGAGTGAGAGGTCTCAAAAAAAATCACTAGACATATAGGGATTCAATGATGTGTAGGGGTTGGCTGAAAGCAAGTGAAACATGTTTTCTTTTGCTTTCCATAATGATTACAATGCTTGTATAATCATAAAAACAAATAGAACACAGCTTGGATTAGGTTAGGGGTAAAGCTGGGGCTGGAATTCAGTCAGGTGACATTTCCGTGGAGAATTGATTTAACCTTTCTGAACTTTCCTTTCTGCCTATGTAAACCGAGGTATTAATAATAATAGTGCCACCTCCTAAGGCTATTGTGAGGGTTAAAGGAAAAATTCTCCATAGAATGCTCAGCACACAGTACCTCATGCATAGTAATCATTCAGTGTGGCCTTGGGATTGTCACTGGCTGTGAGTGCACAGAACTGGCGTCAGATTTTTATAACAGCTTTATTGAGATATAATTGACATACAATAAGCAGCACATATTTAAATTATACGATTTGATATGTTTTGACGCATGTATACATCCCTGAAACCTTTGCCCCAGACTAGATCATGAACATATCCATCACCTCCAAAAGTTTCCTTATCTGTACCTGTAGTTCATTTCTTTTTATGCTGAGTAATAGTTCATTGTATGAACATATCACAACTTATTTTGCCATTCACCTGCTAATGAACGTTTGGATTGTTTCAAATTTTGGCTAATTACATATAGAGTTGCATTCATTTACGAGTCTGTGGGTAGACACAGGCTTTCAGGTGTCTTGGGTAAATACCTACTAGTGGGATGTCTAGGCTGTAATGTGAGTATAGATCTTTACAAGAAACTACCTGGCACCAGATGTGGCCATCAGAGTGCGGGACTCCCCTGGAGAGGAATGAGGGTGGAGGTCAGAGTCAGGGGTCTCCTACACCCTCTGTTTACCTTCTCAGGCTCGATGGTCAACTCCTGGAGGTCTATGGCTGGCATCTCAATAGGGCCTATTCCTTCTTAGAGATGCCCTCCTCCCCATAGCAGGAGTTCCCATATCCCTGTGGGCATCAAAATTTCCTGGAGAGCCTTTTATTTATTTAGTTAGTTAGTTAGTTAGTTAGTTAGTTTGAGATGGAGTCTCTGTCTCGCTCGTTGCCCAGGCTGGAGTACAGTAGCACAATCTTGGTTCACTGCAACTTCCACCTCCCAGGTTCAAGCCATTCTCATGCCTCAGCCTCGCTAGTAGCTGGGACTACAGGTACATGCCACTACGCCTGGCTTTTTTTTTGTATTATTAGTAGAGACGAGATTTCACCATGTCAGCCAGGCTGGTCTCAAACTCCTGACCCCAGGTGATCCGCCTGCCTCAGCCTCCCAAAGTGCTGGGATTACAGGGGATTACAGGTGTGAACCACCACATCTGGCCCCGGGAGCTTTAAACACTGTAGATTCCTTAGGCATGAGCTGACAGGAGTGAAATTAAATAAATAAATAAGTAAATAAATAAACATTGTAGGCCGGGTACGGTGGCTCCCACATGTAATCCCAGCACTTTGGGAGGTTGAGGCCGGAGTGTTGCTTGATCCCGCGAGTTCGAGACCAGCCTGGGGCAAAACCCTGTCTCTACTAAACATACAAAAATTAGTTGGGCATGGTAGCTCACGCCTGTAATCCCAGCTACTCGGGAGGCTAAGGAGAATTGCTTGAACCCTGGAAGCAGTGGTTGCAGTGAGCTGACATTGTGCCACTGCACTCCAGCCTGGGCGACAGAGCAAGACTCCGTCTCAAAATAAATAAAAAAATAAAAATACAAAAAATTAGCCTGGTGTGGTGGCATGCACCTGTGACCCCAGCTACTCAGGAGGCTGAGGTGAGAGGATCACTTGAGCTTGGGAAGTTGAGGCTCAGTGAGCCGTGATTGTGCCACTGCACTCCAGCCTGAGTGACAAGAGTGAGACCCTGTCTCCTAAAAAAACCACATAAATAAAAATTAACGCTGCAGATTTCTGGGCCCCATCTGAGACCTGTTGACTTAGAATGTTGCTGGGTAGGACTGCAGAATTTGTTCTTTTAAGTGCCCTTTGTGATTCTGCCATATTAACAGGAAGGAACTCCTCACCTGCCAGGTCAAGTTTAAAACCTCAAGCAAGGCATTTCCGGCCTTTTGCCATCCGGCCCCCATGTCCTGTGCAGGCTCACACGTTGCCCTCACCCAGACACGCAGTCTCATGAAACTCCTCTATGTTCCCAACATTTTCAGGCTCTCTCACATCCGAGTCTTCACACTAGTTCGTCTTTCTATATCCCCCTTGTCTACCTGGGAAACTTCCACACTGACCTCTGAGGCCAGCTAAAACACTATTTCCTCTGGGAAGCCTTCCACATTCTTCTTCCAACCAGCCAGTCAGAAGTAGTTTCTCTTTCCTGTGAGTCTCCCAGCACCTCCCACCATTCTATATCCCAGCATGCATCACTCTGTCCCATAATTATTTAGTGATGCCAGTGTCAAACAGTTTGTATAGCTTGCCTTGTTTCAGGTCCCCAGGTACTTCTGAGGTAGATGATGATGATGTTATGATCATGACGATAAAAGCAAAGGTTGAGCATGTGAAAAGTTTGCTCAAAGAATTCTACATATGGACCGGGCACAGTGGCTCATGCCTGTAATCCCAGCACTTTGGGAGGCGGAGGCAGGTAGATCACCTGAGGTCAGGAGTTCGAGACCAGCCTGGCCAACATGGTAAAACCCCGACTCTACTAAAAATACAAAAATTAGCTGGGCGTGGTGGCAGACACCTGTAATTCCAGCTACTCAGGAGCCTGAGGCAAGAGAATCGCTTGAACCAGGGGGTGGAGGTTGCAGTGAGCCGAGATCGCGCCACTTCACTCTGGTCTGAGCAAAAGAGTAAGACTCCGTCTAAAAAAAAAAAAAGAAAAAAAAAAAAGAATTATACATATGCTGCTAGACCCTTTCATCCTCACCAAAGCCCTGTGAGGCAGGTACTTTTATTATCAGGCCCTCTTGCAGATGAGGATACTGAGGCTTAGATAAATTATTTGCCTAAACTCATCCATTCTCATAAGTAGCATCACAACTTGCACCCAAGAGCCTCTGATCCCAGGGCTCCACACTCCCACATGACCCACGTTTAAATCTTCTGCTCAGTAATCACTGGGCCAAGACCTTAGTTTTTTTCCTTCGCCCTGAGATCTGGATTGTTTCCATTGTTCAGCTATTACAAATAAACTTTCTATGAATATTCACGTACAAGTACTTGTAATGCTTTCTTTCTCCTGGGTAAGTAATTAGGAGTGAAATAACTTGGTCATATGGTAGGCGTATGTTTAACTTTTTGAGAAATTACCAAACTGTTTTTCCAAAGTAGTTATACCATTTCACTCCTACCAGCATGTATGAGAATTCCAGTTGCTCCACATCTTCCCCAACATTTAATATGATCAGTCTTTTTAATCTTGGCCATCCTAATAGATGTGTAGTGGTACCATACTGAGTTTTAATTTGCATTCCCCTAATGCCTATAATATTGAGCTTCATTTCATGTCCTTATTACCATCCATTTTATTTGATGAAGTGTCTGTTCAAATCTTTGCCCATATTTTAATTGGGTTGTTTTCTTAATACTGAGTTGTAGCCAGGCACGGTGGCTCACGCCTGGAATCTCAGCACTTTGGGAGGCCGAGGCAGGAGGATCACCTGAGGTCAGGAGTTTCAGACCAGCCTGGCCAACGTGGTTAAATCTTGTTTCTATTAAAAATACAAAATTAGCTGGGCATGGTGCTGCGCACCTGTAATCCTAGCTACTTGAGAGGCTGAACCCAGGAGGTGGAAGTTGCAGTGAGCCGAGATCATGCCATTGCACTCTGTGCAAAAAGAGTAAAGCTCCGTCTCAAAAAAATAAAAAATAAAAAAAAAGCAAAAAAAAAAAAAAAAACCTGATTTGTAAGAGTTACTTATATATTCTGGAAACAAGTTACTTGTCAGATAGTGATTCTTTTTTTTCCCATTCTGTGGCTTGTCTTTTATTTTCTTAGCAATGCCTTTCTAAAAGCAGTAAGTTTTAATTTTAATAAAATCAAATTTATCAATTTTTTCTTTTATGAACAGTGCTAATCTATGTCAACAACATTTTATCATTTCAATGTATAGGTCTTACATATATTTTAGCAGATTTACCTTAAGTATTTCATTTTTTAATGCCATTGAAATTTAAATTTTAGATTGTTGATAGTATACAGAAACATGATGAAGTTTTTTATATTGATCTTGTAGCCTGTATCCTTGCTAACTCATTTATTAGTTCTAGTAGCTTCTTTCATAGATTCCATAGGATTTTCTACACAGGAAACCATGTTGTCCAAGAATAAAGATAGTGTCACTTCTTTCTTCCCAATCTTAGCTTTTTATTTCTTTTCCTTGCTTTATTGCACTAGCAATTTGGTTGTTGGAAGTTGTCTTGCAGTTCCCTAAAATATTGCGGTTTTTAAAGGTCTTTTTTCTCTGCCTGTTTCATTTTGCCCAAGCTCACCATAGTTTCTATTACTGTGCCTTTGAGTTCACTGATATTCTCTCCTACAATGTCAAATCTTCCACTCTTTCCATCCACTGTGTTTTACATCTCTGGCATTGTAGTTTCCATCTCTAAACGTTTTCTTTGGTCTTTTAAAATATTTGCATGTCCCTACATAGTCAATAGTTCTTCTAGCTTAACACATGACATACATTTAATAACTGTTTTAATGGTATTGTCTACTGATTTTACCGTCAGCGTCATTTCTAGGTCAGTGTCAATCGATTGATTACCTCTCCATTATGGGAAGTGTTTTCTTGTTTCTCTGCATGCCTGGTAACCACTGACTGGATGCCAGACATTTGCGAATTTTACCTTGTTGTGTACTATATATTTTTGTATTTCTAGAAGAATTAGAGAATCTTGATCTCTGGCAGAGTGGTAGACCAAAGGAAAAAAAAAAAGAAAAAGAAAATGAATGTATAAATAATCTCAAGTTGTGTTCTGAAAAATAATTACGTTACTCAGAAACAGTTTGGTCCTTTGGTTAGATGGGCCCAGAGCTGTATTTCTGTAGGGTTACTTTTTCCCCACTACTCAGCTAATACCCTGAGACCCCTTGAATTAATCCCCTCTGGCTATCAGGAACAGACTCTGTCTACTAGCTCTGTGCGAGCTCTGAGCACTATTCTCTCTTATCTTTTTGGGTGGTTTCTTACCCCAGCCTCAGGTAATTTCCACTTGATTAATACTCAACTGAATAGTTAAGGGGGACCCTCTGAATATCTCCAGCGCTCGCTCTTTGTAGTTCTCCTCTCTCCAGTACTCTGCCTTACAAACTTCAGCCTCTTTGGCTTCCCCCAGGCCCCTGGACATGTCTTGTTAATGAGGGGAGCCACGGCATGGCAACTTTCTCCAGGTGACAAGTCAGTAGGACTAACCTGTATTTCTTCATTTCTCTCAATGATCACTGTTTGCCACTGTCTAATGTATACATAGTGTCTTGAGTGTCATTTTGTGTGTGTGTGTGTGTCTGTTTGGTTTTGTATTTTAAGGCATTTCAGAAGGGAGGGTAAATCTAGTCTCTGTGACCGTTCTGAAAAAGCAGAAGTTCGTGGTGTCAGAGTTGGCACTGGAGTTGGTCAGGAAGTGTCAGAGCTGGCTCTGCACTGGAGCGGGGAGGTTTTTCTTCCTTTACACCAGCTGGCACACCTGCCCGCAGAGGAGGACGGATTCTACTGTGCCGTCAAGCTCTCAGGCACTGGGTGCCAACTGGGTCAGTAACCAGGGAGAGGAGGTAACTGGTGTGCCCGTGGGAAACCAGAGCTGGCATATCTCATTATAACTGTCAACAGAATGCTTCTTCACTGAGGTTCCAATGCTGCCACCTCTCCAGCCAGCCCAGCTGGAGTCAGGGTGCCTTCCTCTAAGGGCTCTGACCTCATCTCCAGTGACTGACCTCACTTGGCCAGAGCTGGAGGGGATTAGCACCTACAGCCTCCCAGCTGGCAACATTAGCCACTACCTAGCAACAACAATGACAAACTTCCATTTTTTGAGCAGTTACTATTTGCCAGGCCCTGAGCTACCTACTAAAAAATTGAGGCTAGAGGAGGTAAAGCTGCTCACCCAAGTGACGCAGCTGGAAAGGGGAAAAAGGCGGATTCAACACTTACCTCTGGAGACCTGGGGGATGGTCTGTCATACATACATCCTGGGACCTTTCAGAGGCTCTGGGTCCCAACCTCCATTTTGGCCTAGGCTCCTGTCTCTGTTTCTGGCTTTTGTCTGCCTCTGGGTCTGAAGCCCTAACCGAATCTGCGTAATTCTGGGGCATGGCATGGTGCGCAGGACACACACTGACTTTGTTAACAGACAGACTGAGGTTCAAATCCTACTTTCTAACTGTGTGACCTTGAGGGAGTCCCTAAATTCTTGCTGAGCCATAATAATTACCTCTACAACATGGGGTAGTGGTATTACCTCACAGGGTGAATGTGAGGATTAAATAAGATAATATGTTAAAAGTGCTTACTTCCACCTGAGTGTTCAATACATGGCAGTGAGACACCCAGTGTCCAATCAGGCATGTAAGGGGCTTGGACGTTGTCTCTCTGTCATAATAATAACTAAAAGGTTGAACAAACTGGAAAATCAACAATTCTTAGATCCTGCAGAGGAGTGAGATCACAGGGCAAACCACTGCCCTCAAAATTGAAGAGACAGAAAAGCAGAAACTCCCAAGTAGAAACCTCCTCTAGAACCAGTACCAGGACAGGACATCCTAACCTGTAATTGAAGAACTGCTGGAGGCTCAGTATGGGCAAATCTGAACGTTAAACATTCCAGCAAGATCCAGCCATAGGGGCGCACCCACATGTTTGTGAGTTTAATCTTCAGGATCTCTATCGGGTCCTCCCAGTGAATGTCAGAGAAAAATCTCCTTGTGCTTTCAGCAGGGGGATGGGAAAAGTGACCATTTTGAAATATGCCAGAGCATTCTGTTCTTAACAAGGCCTGCTTTCAAGAGAAACTATTTCAGCCCAGCCCAATCTTCTGGAGCTTAATCAGAGCCTAGCTGACCTGAGGGAGGGGAAATAGCCAACTCCACACCCCTCTCTGTCCCACCTAAGGGGAGAAAAAAAAATGGAGAAGCACTGGTGAACTTCACAGCCCAGGAGGGTTCCCCGGCTCATGAAAAGACTGAGGACTAATCACAGGACTGTGGAACACCACCCCTGCCCCACACCTCCTCCACCACATTGCTAAAGGCCTATTTTACGGGAATTCCTTTTACCCAGTGTAGGAGCCATGGGAAAACGTTCCCTTCACTCTTGGAAGTTTCACTAAAAAATCAATTTACGGGCCGGGCGCGGTGGCTCAAGCCTGTAATCCCAGCACTTTGGGAGGCCGAGACTGGTGGATCATGAAGTCAGGAGATCGAGACCATCCTGGCTAACACGGTGAAACCCCGTCTCTACTAAAAGATACAAAAATATAGCCGGGCGAGGTGGCGGGCGCCTGTAGTCCCAGCTACTCGGGAGGCTGAGGCAGGAGAATGGCGTGAACCCGGGAGGCGGAGCTTGCAGTGAACCGAGATCGCGCCACTGCACTCCAGCCTGGGCGACAGAGCGATCCGTCTCAAAAAAAAAAAAAATCAATTTACAGGCCAGGCTTGGTGGCTCACACCTGTAATCCTAGCACTTTGGGAGGCCAAGGTGGGTGAATCACCTGAGGTCAGGAGTTCGAGACCAGTCCAGCCAACATGGAGAAACCCCATCTCTACTGAAAATACAAAAATTAGCTGGGCATGGTGGCGGGCGCCTATAATCCCAGCTACCTGGGAGGCAGAGGCAGGAGAATCGTTTAAATCCAGGAGGCAGAGGTTGCAGTGAGCTGAGATTGTACCATTGCACTCCAGCCTGGGTGACAAGAGCAAGACTCTGTCTTAAAAAAAAAAAAAAAAAATTGGCCGGGCGCGGTGGCTCAAGCCTGTAATCCCAGCACTTTGGGAGGCCGAGGCGGGCGGATCACGAGGTCAGGAGATCGAGACCATCCTGGCTGACACGGTGAAACCCCGTCTCTACTAAAAAATACAAAAAAAACTAGCCAGGCGAGGTGGCGGGCGCCTGTAGTCCCAGCTACTGGGGAGGCTGAGGCAGGAGAATTGCGTGAACCCGGGAGGCGGAGCCTGCAGTGAGCTGAGATCCGGCCACTGCACTCCAGCCTGGGCGGCAGAGCGAGACTCCGTCTCAAAAAAAAAAAAAAAAAAAAAAAAAAATCAACTTACAAAAGGCAAATTGGTAGGAGAAATGGTGTACAAATTTATTAGTATGCACAGGGGAGAATCATAGAGTGATTACCCAATATCCCAATGGAGTAAGATGGTACTCTTCTTTTTAAAAAAACTTCTATAAATTTTTTAAATTAAAAAAAAATGGAATACTTTATGAATTTGCATACCATCCTTGTGCAGGGGCCAGGCTAATCTTCTCTGTATCGTCAAAATTTTAGTATATGTGCTGCCAAAGTGAGCACTGTATACCCTTCTTCTTAGGGGAAAGGAAGATGGGAAAGTATGCATGATTTTAGGGGATAGGAAATGATTTTTAGGGGAATTCAATGGGCTTGAAAAACGTACAATTTCCTTCGACAAAGTCTGTTGGGCCTGCAGAGCACACAATGGTTTGTGACAAAAGTCTGTGTACCATCTGGCGAACATGGTGAAAGCCTGTCTGTACTAAAAATACAAAAATTAGCTGGGCGTGGTGGCGAGAGCCTATAGCCCCAGCTACTTGGGAGGCTGAGGCAGAACCGCTTGAATCTGGGAGGTGGAGGTTGCAGTGAGCCGAGATCACGCCATTGCACTTCAGCCTGGACAACAGAGTGAGATTGCATCTCAAAAAAAAAAAAAAAAAAGTCTCCCTAGATTTGTTGACAGACTTGGGTCTTTCTTCCTGTGCTACAAATTCAGTTAATGAAAACTCAAAGACGGGACTAGAGGCAATTGTCTTCTACTTTGGCGGAACTGGACTTTAGGCAGATAGGGGAACTTCAGAAAACAACTTTATCATGTGCTTTGGGAGGGACGAGGATTGAGAGACAGGAGATGAGGGAAGGTCAGAGAGACCTTGAGGCTTTTTCTTCAGTTTGGCATGTCAAAATACCATATTTTGTTGTATTGGTTTCTGAGCCCCAACACCAGCATATCATGTGTGGCTTTCAATGGAAAAAATTACAACGCATATTAAAGGCAAAACACACACTTTGAAGAAAAAGAGCAAGCATCAGAACCAGACTGGGATACAACAGGAATGTTAAGATTATCAGACTAAAAATTTAAAACAACTAAAATTAATGTTAGGGGCTTTGATGGAAAAAGTAGATAACATGCAAGCACAGATAGTGTAAGCACAGAGACAAAAATTCTAAGAAAGAATGTTTTTTAATGATAGAGATAAAAAATACTGTAATAGAAATGAAGAATGCTTTTAATGGGCTTATTAGTACATTGGACATGGATGAGGAAAGAATCTCTGAGACCGAGGATATGTTGGTAGAAACTTTCAAAACTGAAAAGCAAAGAGAGAAAAGACTGAAAAAACGTAAGAAAGAATATCCATGTACTGTGAGACAACTCTAAAAGCTATATTATATGCATAATGGGAATATCTGAAGGAGAAAAAAGGACAAAAGAAATATTTGAAGCAAGGATAACTGAACATTTCACCAATTTTTTTCTTTTTTGAGGCAGAGTCTCGATCTGTCACCCGGGCTGGAGTGCAGTGGTGCGATCTCCTCTCACTGCAACCTCCGCCTCCCAGGTTCAAGTGATTCTCCTGTCTCAGCCTCCCGAGTAGCTGGGACTACAGGCACCTGCCACCACACCCAGCTAACTTTTTTGTATTTTTAGTAGAGACGGGGTTTCACCATGTTGGTTGGGCTGGTCTCAAACTCCTGACCTCAGGTGATCCACCTGCCTTGGTCTCCCAAAGTGCTGGAATTACAGGCGTGATCCACCGCACCCTGCAATTTCACCAAATTAATGTCAGACACCATACCACAGATCCAGGAAACTCAGAGATCTCTCTCTCTCTCTCTCTCTCTCTCTCTCTCTCTCTCACATACACACACAAAGCCCCAAATGCTACACCTAGGCATATCATACTTAAACTGCATAAAATCTAAAATCAAAGATAAAGAAAAAATCTTGGAATGAAAGCAGAGAGGTAGCCAACAGTACTTTGGCAAAAAAAAAAAAAAAGGAATAATTTTCTAAAAAGGAAAGCAGAGGGGGGAAAACCTTGCCTACAGAGGAGCAAAGACATGACATCTGAGTTCTTAGAAACCAAGCAAGCTAAAAGAGAATGAAGTGAATATTTTAAATGTTGGGAGAAAAAACCCACCAACCTCGTATTCTGTATCCTGAAAACTTTCCTTCAGGAGTGAAGGAACTGGGTGAGGTGGCATGTGCCTATAATCACAGCTACTTGGGAGGCTAGTGTGGGAGTATCCTTTCAGCCTAGGAGTTCCAGGCCAGCCTGGGGCAACGTAGCAACACTCTGTCTCTAAAAGAAAAAAAGTTGGCCGGGCACAGTGGCTCACTCCTGTAATCTCAGCATTTTGGGAGGCCGAGGCAGGCAGATCACTTGAGGTCAAAAGTTTGAGACCAGCCTGGCCACATAGTAAAACTACATCTCTACTAAAAATATAAAAATTGCCGGGCGCGGTGGCTCAAGCCTGTAATCCAGCACTTTGGGAGGCCGAGACGGGCGGATCACGAGGTCAGGAGATCGAGACCATCCTGGCTAACACGGTGAAACCCGTTCTAAAAAATACAAAAAACTAGCCGGCGAAGTGGGGGCGTGGTCCAGCTACTCGGGAGGCTGAGGCAGAGAATGGCGTAAACCGGGAGGTGGAGCTTGCAGTGAGCTGAGATCCGGCACTGCACTCCAGCCTGGGACAGAGCCAGACTCAGTCTCAAAAAAAAAAAAAAAAATATATATATAAAAATTAGCCAGACATGGCAGCATGCGCCTGTAATCCCAGCTACTTGGGAGGCTGAGGCAGGAGAATCACTTGAACTCAGGAGGCAGAGGTTGCAGTGAGCCAAGATGGCACCACCGCACTCCAGCCTGGGCAACACAGCAAGACTCCATTAAAAAAAAAAAAAGTTAACAAATCTAGCTATATATACAAAGTTTAATAAATCTAGTCCAAATAGAGTTTAATCTCAGGAATGCAAGGTTGTTTTAGTATTTGAAAATCAATTTGTGGCCTGGCACAGTGGCTCACGCCTATAATCCCAGCACTTTGGGAGGTCAAGGCCGGTGGATCACCTGAGGTCAGGAGTTCAAGACCAGCCTGGCCAACATGATGAAACCCCATCTTTACTAAAAATAAAAAAATTAGCCAGGCGTGGTGATGTGCACCTATAGTCCCAGCTACTCGGGAGGCTGAGAGAGGAAAACTGCTTGAACCTGGGAGGTAGAGATTGTGCTGAGCCAAGATCATGCCACTGTACTCCAGCCTGGGTGACAGAGCAAGACTGTCTCAAAAAAAAAAAAAGAAAGAAAGAAAGAAAGAAAATCAATTTGTGTACTTGATTATATTAACAAAATAAAAATTACATTTTTTTTTTTTTGAGACAGAGTTTCGCTCTTGTTGCCCAGGCTGGAGTGCAATGGCACGATCTTGGCTCACTGCAACCTCCACCTCCCAGGTTCAAGCAATTCTCCTGCCTTAGTCTCCCGAATAGCTGGGATTACAGGCATGTGCCACTGTGCCCGACTAATTCTGTATTTTTAGTAGAGACGCGGCTTCTCCATGTTGGCCAGGCTGGTCTCAAACTCCTGACCTCAGGTGATCCACCAGCCTTGGCCTCCCAAAGTGCTGGGATTACAGGTGTGAGCCACCGTGCCTGATCTTGTTTTTTAAAAAGTGAAAGAAAAACAAAGACTTTCTCAAACAAAATTGAAGGAATTTGTTGCCAGTAAACCTAATTTACAAGAAATGTTTAAAGAAGTTTTTCAGAGAGAAGGAAAATAATATAGATCAGAAACTCAGATCCACTTAAAGAAAAGAAGAGCAACAGAGAAAGAATAAGTAAAGAGAAAATTAATACTTTTATTCTTATTCTTAATCTAACAAATAAGATAATGTTCAAAATAATAATAGCAACAATGAATATAGCTATATATAAGCAAAATGAATACAGCGAAACAAGGGATGGAGGGAGGAATTAGGAATGTTTCATTACCGAAGCAGGATAGTGTCATTTGAAAGTGGACTGGGATTAGTGTATATGTATACAGCAAACTCTAGGGCGATCCTTAAAAAAACTTTTTTTTGAGACGGAGTCTCGCTCTTGTCGCCCAGGCTGGAGTGCAGTGGTGCGATCTCAGCTCACTGCAACCTCTGCCTCCTGGATTCAAACTATTCTCCTGCCTCAGCCTCCTGAGTAGCTGGGATTACAGGCGCACGCCACCACACCCAGCTAATTTTTGTACTTTTAGTAGAGACGAGGTTTCACCACGTTGGCCAAGCTGGTCTCAAACTCCTGATCTCAAGGAACTGCCCACCTCAGCCTTCCAAAGTGCTGGGATTACAGGTGTGAGCCAACACGCCTGGCCTAAAAATTTTTTTAAAAGTAAGTATATTGGGAGGCCGAGGCAGGCAGATCACGAGGTCAGGAGTTTGAGACCAACCTGACCAAGATGGTAAAGCCCCGTCTCTACTAAAAAAAAAAAAAAAAAATATATATATATATATATATATATATATATATATATATACACACACAAAAATTAGCTGGGTGTGGTGGCATGCACCTGTAATCTCAGCTACTCAGAAGGCTGAGGCAGGAGAATCACTTGAACAGGCAGAGGTTGCAGTGAGCCAAGATCGCGCCACTGCACTCCAACCTGGGCGAAAGAGCGAGACTCCGTCTCAAAAAAAAAAAAAAAAAAAGAAAAGAAAAGTAAGTATAATCAATATTCTGAAAATAAGAGGAAATGTAATCACATAAAATGCTCACTTAAGTCTAAAAAGGAAGAAAATGTGTAGAAGACAAAAATACAAGGGCAATGAATAGAAAACAATAACAAATATGGTATACATTAATCCAACTACATCAATAATCACTGTAAACATCAATGATCTAAATATACCAATTACAAGACAGAGATTTGGTCAGAGTGAATCAAAAACAAGACCGACCTATATGCTGTGTAAAAAAAAAAAAACACTTTATTTTTTATTTTATTTTATTTTTGAGACAGAGTCTCTCTCTGTTGCCCAGGCTGGAGTGCAGTGGCACACTCTTGGCTCACCGCAACCTCCACCTCCCAGGTTCAAGTGATTCTCCTTCCTCAGCCTCCTGAGCAGCCAGGACTACAGGCACCTGCCACCATGCCCAGCTAATTTTTGTATTTTTAGTACAGATGGGGTTTCACCATGTTGGTCAGGCTAGTCTCAAACTCCTGACCTCAGGTGATCCACTTGCCTCGGCTTCCCAAAGTGCTGGGATTACAGGCGTG